TAAATTTTGAAGGCGGACAATTTTGTCACTTGTCAGGACATCTGGGTAAGAAAAAAGACATTCAAAGAAGGATAAGAAAAAAGACATTCAAAGAAGGAAAAGAAAAAAGACATTCAAAGAAGGAAAAGAAAAAAGACATTCAAAGAAGGATAAGAAAAAAGACATTCAATCAAGGATGAGAAAAAAGCGGAGTTCACTCAGATTTGCACCCCTCTCTCAGGGCATAGCAGAGGGCACAGCAGCTTCCTAACTATCACAGTAAAAGACTTATAACCCCATTGGGGATTCCCTCCCAGCCATTTACTCTCATAATGGGCAGCATAACGAGAACTGAGCCAGCAGCTCCCCCAAGTTGAACTAGAGATATATGACATAACTTTCCACAGTCTGCTGGGGTAATAATAGTTGTAAAAACGTGCATAGAGCATGCAATGCAATAAAGCCTGGATATGCGCTATGTAAATGCAGTGAAATGACAATGGTTGATTGTGCACGAGACCAAAGATTCTGTATAACAAAATGGTTCACTCCTCCCTTTGAACCAATTTAAAAAGTGTCCTCAAAATCCGATGGTGCCCTCTTCGAAAAAGCGCCCGCTTTACAAACAGAGTTACCCTACCTGTGTGGAAAAAAATCAAAGTGAAACTAACAAGTTTTTGTATAAATCATAATTAAACTTTCAGCATAACGCCTTTTAATTGGTTACACTAACAAAAATCCTCCTAAGGTGTTTTCTTCGCTTAATTTGGCTTTAGGACGAGAGGCCAAATATATAATAAAATGAATGTAAAGCTCTGCACTGAGCGAACCGGAGCAGCTGATGCACAAGGGAGTGCTATTCCTATTCTTCTTCTGGAGAAACGAAAGAGAGCTTCAAAACAAAGACTGCAGCGACATCTGAACCAATGTGCGGACTTCAGCAGACATTGTTTTGGCTGAGTGAACTATCTTGTCATGTAGAATCTTTGACGAGACTCACCTATGTGGACGTCCATAGCCACTGATGACTTGTCTGTTTCCGAATCGCTGACCAAGAGTATCTTCATGCCATTGGTAAGCTCCAAGCCACGATACTGCCTCTTGTCAGCATTGGACTTGATGATGTCTTTGTTCTCGAATACTTTCGCCACCCCCGCCATTGTTGTGATTTTCCTGTGTGCATAAAAATCTCAAGGTCATTCCCAAGGACAGCATATTTTCATTCACGGCAGAGCTTCAACAATGAAATTGAATCAGTATTCTGCCACATGACTGGCATTGTCAGCTGTTAAAATTGAAAGTGAAATCTGGCCAAGATACCCTTACCATCAGATCCTCTACAGATCAATTTTTAAACCTTTTATTCTGACTAGTTGCAATAAAAGCAATTTAAGATACCAATATATCAGGTAAAGAAAGCACATGTATAGCATTTAACACTTTGCCATCACAAGGCTCATATATATAGTAAAAACCTTTGCTATCAAAGGCCATCCAAAGAAACTGGGCGGTAAACATCGTCGATCGGCGAGAAGTGACGGCAAAGTGTTAAAAAGCATTAAGGCCGGTCCCAGAGTGGCTCTGTAGGTCTGACCTGTAGCTCGTCTAGCTCGCACCGTGCAAATGAACGTATACATTATCGTGCGCATAAGGGTGAGAAAATAAGGTGGGGTTCCTGAATTTTATCATAATTTGATGTTTTGCAGTTGTTAGGTTTGATATTCTTACCTCGCCGCACATCAAACGTTACATAGTTTACTATAGTATAGATCTCGATGTAGATCTAGGATCAAATAAGGGGGGTGGGAACTACCGAAAAGGCCACCTCTATTCTCACCCCGGGTGAGAATAGCGCAGGCGAGTCTTTTGGCTATTCTCACCCGGTGGGCGTTCACCGTTACAGCCTAGGCCAACCATTGAAGCGTTCACCCTGAACCACAGAATTCTACACTGTGATAACAGAATTATAGAATTCTGTGCTGTGAACAAACGTTCTAGATTTCTAGATCTATTACTACTGTTAGTGTTAGCCTAAAAGCGTTCATTTTGTCTGTGGGCAGTGGAGAGAGAGAAAGAGAGAGAGAGAGAGAGAGGAGTCGCGCGAGAACTTCGGGGCAAAACAAAATGGCGACCCGCGTA